GGAAAGATGGCTTAATTTTCACAATTGCTCTTACTTATCATACGAAATAGTCCACAGTTTCCATTCATTTCAGGGTGAATAGAAGTGGTAATTCAGGTGTTCTAAAACAAGATGTTCTAGTTGCTTCTCTTCTATTCATTACATCAGAACTTCGAATGACTTCTGATTTATATGGGGGAGATGCGAGGGGGTATAGCAGGAAATGTGGTCTTATCACTGTTTCAAGAGTGGTAGGTTCTCATAAGGATGTTTTCTTCTTTGTAAAGAGATAGTGGAGTTTAAAAGTCTGTTGTCCCCATACAGGTCAAGAGGCCCCCAAAGCAACGTAGAAAGATCTTTTGAGGTGCCCTAGGATTGGATTGTGAGCTGTCAAGTCTTTTAAGTTCCTTTGTTGCTAAATGGCTTTTCCGTGTATGTGAGAGGTTTTCTCTAGATCCCCTTTAAGACTTGTTGGCAGAGACAGTGATAGTTGTGGGTTTTGTCTTGAAAAAAGCAGAACTCAAAAACCCCAATTATGGAGCTGAATGCTTTGAATAAGGAACGCTTGACCTCAGGAACTTGAGGTATTATGACAACCGGGGCTTTTTGGAACTTCCTTATTCTCTCTCTCAACACATTGTTTACTTAATATCTTGGTGTTTAGGGCACTTTTCTACCCTTGGGCTTATTCTTAAGGAGACAAAGCAATTCCTTAACTCCTCAAAGAAACACTTTTGAAATGGTGTTTTTAGGTCAGTGGATGACTGAAAAAGAAAAAAAAGGATTTAGACTCAAGTAACTTGTAGAAGGTTTGGCCAACTCTTTGACTCATGAGAAATGAGTAGAATGGGAGACAAGGAATGGCAAAAAGTAGCAGCACCTCTCTGAGTTATTTTCCCCTCCCTCACTAAAATCTCCCTTCCCAGGACAGCTTTAGTTAAGTTCCCATGATGCTTTACTTCTGCAGATGTTTGGAGGCCATGATTAAGTACCTCACACTGTGGAAGAAAGAGGGGCAGGAGGAGCCCTATGTCAGCCTCACCCGAAAGAAGATGCTAATAAATGGCGAGGAGGTGCTGATAGAATGGGAGGTGGGCCACTCCATCCGGACCCTGGCTATGCACCGCAATGCCTACAAACGTATGTCACAGATCCAAGCCTTCCTGGGTTCAGTGCCCCAGCTGACCTATCAGCTCTATGTGACCCTGATCTCTGCAGAGGTCCCCCTGGGTAGAGGTGAGTGGGGTCAGGATTGGGGTGGGCTCCACTTAAATCCAGGGTCTTCAAAATCTAGACCTGAGCTGTCTAATACACTGGGCAACAGCTTCCTGTGGCTATTAAAATGAAAAATTAAGTTAAAAATTTACTTTCTGTCATACTAGCTATATTTAAGTGTTCAATAGCTATGTGTGGCTAGTGGTCACTTATTGGACAGCACATATATTATAGAACATTTCCATCATTGCACAAAGTCCTATTGGACAGCACCGGTAGATAGTCAAACAACTTGGGAATCCAGACATCTCAGGCCTGACAGATTTCTTAAACTGGGGTAAGCTATTTAGACTAAAAATGCCACAGATAAGCCCTCTCTGGGCTAGTAATAAACCCTCTCAGAAGAAGCTAGTAATACCAGCAGTCAGTAGGACATTTTCTCCAGCCCAGAGTGTTTAAATTATACTGAGGATTTTTTGTTTATTTGTTTGGTTGGCTTAGGGGTGACCATATTTAAATAAGAGGTTCCCAAATATTACTGATCATGAAACTCCTTTTTACAATTACATTTTCTACTCAGACCTGAATCAATCTGAGTGTGGGGAGGGTAGGAATCTGTATTTTTTAATGTACCCAGTTGATTCTGATCAGCCACATTTGGGAGCCAGTGATTTAATCACTTCTCCCAACTCCAGCAAAGAGAAAGACCTTTGGCAGAGGATGAAATGTGAGTCAGTGTTTTCAAAGCTGAGATAAAGTACTGTTAATGAGTTTTAACAGCCTGAGATTAGCTTCATCTTCTTGGGCTGGAGCTGGTACAGCTGTGGGTACAACTTTGGATCATTTTCTTATTGTTGGGTGCTGACTCTGCTTGGCAAACCTCCATGTCTCAAATAAGTGTAAGGAGGAAATTTTTCCTCTTTTGTACTTTTCTCCACTAAGAATTGTTCATGAAACTCTATTGGTCTTGAAGATTTTCACATTCTTAGAATGGAAAATAGTGGGAGGAGAAAGATCTCTGGAAATGACATTTTTCCTCCTGAGAATTTTGAGGGTCATCAAATCATCTAATTAAAATGTGTATACATTACAAAAGTAATACACACACAAATCAATTGACCTACAGGTCATTATATATGCACAGAAGAATTTCTGGAAAGATATACAGGAAACAATTTACCTCTAGGGAGTGGAAATGACTCAGCCAACTTTTACTTTTACTTTATACTCTTCTTTATGGTTTGAAACTTTTAATCATGATCATGTTTTATTATTTTAGATCCTTATTTTTAAAAATTTAAAATGTTATTTTTATCCTTATTTTTAATTATAAAAATCTGATAAGGTAAAGACTCAAAACCATACAGAATATATATAAAAGAGGAGATATAATCTCACTTCCCAAAGGTAATCTCTGTTAATCATTCAGTATATATCCTTCCAGACTTCATTTTACTATGTAAATATAAACATACATACAACAGATATATGTATATTTTTGCCAAAAGAGGACTGTATTAAACATTCTGTTAAGCAACATGTCTTTTTCAAAAGTAAGCCAGTATGTCTTTCTTCAACAATTACTTATACATACATATAAAATAATAATAATAATGATAAATATATATTTTTTCCTTATATGAATTGGACCAGTCTTTCTTATTTCCCTAATCATCTATTGGTAGGATTAAAGTTTGTTTCTATTTTTTCCATGCAAAAATTTTTTTTAATTATAAACTATGTTCCAGTGAACATCTGTGTACTGGAATGAAGCTTTGTATGATAAATTCTGAACAGTAGAATTGCTGGGTAAAAGGATATGCATGTTTAGAATTTTATCAATACTGACAAATAACCCCCACAAAAGGTTGTATGAATTTATATTCTCACCAACAGTGTAAAAATGTGCCTGTTTCTTCACATCTTAAACTAAATATTATTTAGTTCTATAATTATAAAATAACTGATTTTTAAAACATAATTTGCATTCTTTAGTATGAATGAAGCTGTGCATCTTCTCATGTTTGGTCATTATGTTCTTTAAATTGCTTACTTGCATATTTTACTTTTTCTAGTGGTATATTTTTTATTAATTTGTAGGAGCTATTTACTTATTCTGGCTATTAATCTTTTCTCTGCTGTGGATAAGTATGTATGTATACATTTGTATACTTTTTTTTGTGTGTATATACACACGTTTTAAATGTGCATATACATGTAACATGTGCAGCACACACATGCAACACATGTGTAAGATCAACACTATACTTGTATCTTCTGGCATTCTGAAGGATTAAATTTTTATGTATTTACATTTTTTATTGGTTTTAGATATTGTGGCTTTTTCACAAAGGTCCTTCACAACGCATATCTGATAGAACAACTTAGCCTGATCTTCCAAATAGATGATTTACCACAATCAATTTGTCAATTCCCCTACCAAAGAAACAAAACAAAGCAAATAATAACAACAACAAATGAAATAACATTTCATTGAGACTGTGATTAGTATTACATTAAATTATTTAGGCTATTTTGGAAGGAATTTACATCTTTACAGGATCAATCAATTTCATATTAGAAAATAATAAATCTCTCCATTTCATTAAATATTTTTAAATCACTTTATTGAGGTACAGTTGACAAATAAAAACCTCGCCTATTTAATGTATACAATTTGATGAGTTTGGAGATAAGTATACCTCCATGAAATTTCACCACAATCTATGCCATGAGTAAGAATAGTTTTCTTGCTATAGGTCATTCACATTTTTGTAAGGCTTATTTCTAGGTGTTCTATCAGTTTTAAAATTGCCTAATTTCCAAAGTGTCATGGTAGTGCCTAAGTAAAGTAAATGCACCTACTACACTTTTGGAAATAGAGGATGATGATGATGATGATGATGATGATGATGATGATGATGATGATGGGAGCTAGCAGATAGTATTTACTATGTTTCAGACATTTCTCTAAGCCCTTTATGTGTAATTATTTCATTTAATCTTCATAACAATCCTATGAGATAATTATTATTATTTCCATTTTACAAATGAGGAAATAGAAGCACTGAGAGGTTAAGTAAATTCCCTAAGGTTCTGTAAGTAATAGGTAGCAAAGACTGGATTGGAATTCAGGATGTCTGCCATTAGAACCTGTGTTTCTAAACATATTACTATGCAAAGGATGTAAAGGAAGTTTTTTCAAGGCCTTTTAAAAAATTCTTCAGTGATTTCTCCTATTAAAAACTTTCTGACAATACCATCTCTTTTAAGGTTTTGTAAACAACTTTTTGGTTTAGTTTTCCTCCTACCTTCTTCTTGCTACCCTTTTCCTAATCCCTTTTTCTCTTGGAGGCCATCTGGATTATCATAGATGACCAAATTCACTCACAGCATTATGATCTCTTATGGCATGAGTCTATTTGTAGGGAGGCAGATGGAAGGTGTTTTTACATTTATTTGGAAGCATCAGGCTTTCCTTCTTTTATTACACTACTATCAGTAAATGAGTTCTAATTAAAAGGAAAGCATTACCAACACACTTGGATAGATGTAGGTACACTCTGACATTCCCAGCTCTTGAGCATCAAGTCTGGAGGATGGGACTGAGAGTGATTTAGAAAGCTAAGACTATAGCAAATTATTATGTTACACACTTTAAGCCAGTGCAATGTTATATGTCAGTTATATCTCAATAAATATAGAAAAAATAGAAAAATAAAGCTAAGAATAGAGACTTTAAGGAAGTCTCCCATTCTGGTCTTTGAGATTCCAACACTCTACTTAGAACTGAAAAAGAGGTAGAAAACAAAGCTGTGCTTCCTTTTGGGTTTCCATGGGGATGTCGTCACTTTTCTTGCAGATGATCTCCACTGCTGTAGTTCTCTGGATGCAGTGTTTTTATAGGAACAGAAAGCTCAAGTAGTTTTGTTTTTTGGACTCTCAGGCCTGCTCATTCTCCCTGTGAGTACTAGATTTTTCTTTTTAAAAAAAATTTTTTTATGTCTTTATTGATTTCAGAGAGAGGAAGGGAGAGGGAGAGGAATAGATAGAAGCATCAATGATGAAAGGGTCATTGATTAGCTGTCTCCTGCACACCCCCTACTGGGGATCGAGCCCACAACCCGGGCATGTGCCCTGATCGGGAATTGAACCACAATCTCCTGGATCATAGGT